TTTCTTTTTTTTTGAGTTATGACGAATTTTTGTCTGGACGTCAGCGACACTGAAATTTGACCCCGAAAACGGCAGTCAAATATGTGTTAAATTGTGCATCATAACTCGGAAAGTTTCGCGTCAAATTAAAAACTTTTTTCAGCGTATTGAGACATATTCTTCTTCTTTTAGAATGTTGAAAGAATTAAAATGTACATCATATTTTAAGCCTGCTAGTCTCCATCCCAGGAAGTCGGTATTTTCGTTCGCCGAACAACTAAATGATTAGGTACAAAATTCAAACTAAAAATTCTCAAAAGTGCAACCTGCTTTGTGTCTAAAACACTTTTAGGGTTAAAGTAAAATACTTAAGGTTAAGTTATTCGCAATAAAACTTGTCGGCAAAGGGAATATGAAGGAGTGCAAAATTCATAAATTATGGCTATATTAATTAAAATAGCTCTATTCACGACTATTGTTTACCTTTGTGATACCCGGAAACACGATTAGCCGGCGTTAAATTACTCGCGGAGCTTTTATATCAGCGATTATTATAAATATAAAATAGTGTTTATAAGTTGAATACGTATATTTGAATACAAACACCACCTTGTAATTTTTTAAGCTTTCGGAAAGCCTTTACAATTGATCATTTTAAAGTTGATTAAAATTCTTAAATAGTTGCACGCCAACATAATGTACAATATATTATCGTTGTTTAATATGTACTGATGAGTGTGCCATAAATAGAATACACACTATATTACGAAAGCAACAATATACTAAACTTCATAGTTAACTTGCTACCTGGATAGTTATTTTTCGCGTGTTCTTCAACAAACAATTTAATGTCGCAAATTTAATCTTTAATCAAACGTTCGGGAGTTGTCGAAAAAATTTCGAGCTTAGTAAATTGTGTTCCTGTAGTCTGTATGCCAAGGGGATTACATTTTTAGCCAATTTTTAAGTTTCTCTAATTTATAAAATAATAATAAAAAACAAGAAAATAATAGCAGAAAATAATAGCAGACGCAATATATACAAGTTGTTTTTGTTCTTCAATGCGCCATTGTTAAAAATAATTATTGGAGTATTTTTTCAACGTACTTCTTAAATTATATCAATGACAGTGTTCCTTTGTAATTTCCACACCTGTTTTGTTTAACAGAAAATTAACGCAAAGAAGTGCCGTTTATATAGATATAGAAGCTTACTAGTTTAGTTTTGATTATTTGGAAAAGTTGTTCATTTGTTGGCGTTGGTGGTATTTCTTGTGGTGAAAGTCGTGGATTTACAGGAGATTAGTTGCTTATATATTTGATTGTAAGGAAGATATGAGTGGTCAACTATCAAACTGTCATCTTTCTAAATCGAACTTGAGAGAGAACGAGTTAATTGCTATTCGCGCGGGAATGTTCAATCTTACCGAAGACCAGTTTAAGACGATGTTTAGTTGTCCATCCCACCGTACATAACTTGGGACGATTTTGGAGGCCGCTAAGACCGTGCCAGTATTCCCTCCATTCGGGTCCTGTTCATAAGTGTACAGGAAGAGATGTTTTCAATGTGTCATTATCAAAAGCAGTTTTTACTATTTATGGGAAATTAATTCAAGTAGGATCTCGTAAGTATTACGTTACTTTTACCGCTTTAAGTGTTGTAATTAGTACTTTAATGACGCGGAGGAAAACTGGAGTTACCTAGCGTAAGTTCACGTGTTCTTCATGAAGGAGAATGCGTAAGTTTACATGTTCTTCATTTTGAGGCGAAAGCACAAAGAGAAATGCTTGTGGACAACTTGTGGAAAATGCTTGCTGATCGACGCATGCCATCCTACGACGCGTATGATTTATGTGACATGTACAAACAGAAGAGCCTATCTGTTTTTAAAATAACGATGCTGGAAGAAATTTGTGCGCACTTTGAACTTCAGTTCAAATCAAAGGCTAAAAAACAGACTCTCATAGATAAAATATCATCCATGATTGGGCAATGCACATGTTTCCAAATAAATAACTAAACTGTGCAGGTGCGGACAATTGCAAATATTCCCAGACTAACTTGGACCGCGAGTGTGTGGAGCCTGGAGCAGTATCGTTAACCCAAATCAAGTGCCAAAAACGCCGCATGCAAACCGCGATGTTATGTATTTTTTATTGCTAATTTATACTACTATTTTGAGACAAATCAAATTTTGCCGAAAAATACCAATTGAAGTTGAAAGTTATTCACAGAATGGCGATTAGCTGCAAACTACTGTAAAATTATTATTATTGCTCTGTAGATTTTAAGATAAAGGATAGATCTCAGTAAACGTCGCAGCTAGTCAATGTCAATGCAAATAAGATCGTTTTATACGATGAATATTGAATGGTTTGCATGAAAGGACAAAAATTGTGCCAAATGGGCAATGCGGAAAACTTTAAACAGAATATAATAACAAGTTCATGGATTTTTTAATTCGATGCGACGTTACGGCACTACACATTTTCGACATTGGCATTGTACCTGTCCAGTCATACAACGTCCTAGACGAATTTATTTCTTCTGACCGTTTTAGAATCGTTATACAATGATTAAGCAATATATTAGTCGCTATAAAAACTCCGCGAGCAACATTGAACGTGTTCCCATGCAGTTATCACAAAGGTAAACAATAGAGCTATTTATAGCCAAAATTTATGAATTTTGCACTCCTTCATATTCCCTTTGCCGACAAGTTTTATTGCGAATAACTTAACTTTAAGTATTATACTTTAACCCTAAAAGTGTATTAGACACCAAGCAGGTTGCACTTTTGAGAATTTTTAGTTTGAATTTGTACCTAATCATTAGTTGTTCGGGGAACGAAAATACCGACTTCCTTGGATGGAGACTAGTAGGCTTAAAATAAGATGTACATTCAAATTCTTTCAACATTCTAAAAGAAGAAGAATATGTCTCAATACGCTGAAAAAAAATTTTAATTTGACGCGAAACTTTCCGAGTTATGATGCACAATTCAACACATATTTGACTGCCGTTTTCAGGGTCAAATTTCAGTGTCGCTGACGTCCAGATAAAAATTCGTCCTAACTCAAAAAAAAAGAAAAAATTAGAAATTCTAATATTAGTTTAATACCTTTTAGGACAAAGGTAGTTCATGGTAAAAATATAAAGGAAATCTAATTTTCAACCAGAAACGCTCTGCATGATTCTTAGTGAGACAGCCACTTAAATAAGTATACGACACCAGATCTCAGAAACGTAGGAACTTTATCCTTGAAAGGAAAGAAAGAAGAGATGCGTTTAGAGGAGCGAAAGATAAATCGAATGTTGAGATGAGGATAAGCAGCATTGCAAAGTCGGTTGATTTGAGTGCGAATCTGAAGAGAGTGTGAACCGGTGAAGGGAAGGCAGAAATAGACAACCTTTTTAGGAACCGTGTGAATAGGAGGTTTGAGTTCGAAGATCTTGTTAAGCAAACGATGAACAAGACGGTCAAACATGTGGGAGGGGAAACCATTCAAGTTAAACAGTTTCCTGATAACTTGAAGCTGAGTGTGAAAGTTTTCATAGCTAGAACAGAGGTTGAAAATTCTGTAAAGTAAGCAAGAGATTAAAGAGCGTTTGTATGCAAGAGGAATGAAGCTGTGGAAGTTAGTGAAAAGACCCGTGAAAGTTGGTTTACGATAAACAGAAGTGGAAAATTCACCGTTTAAACGAGTTATATCGACATCGAGAAAAGGCAGTTTACCGTCTTTTTCCAGTTCGGATGTAAAAGAAATGTTTGGGTGTTGGCGGTTAAGGTGATTAAGAAAAAGAGGTACGTGGTCCGGGGATCTAAAAAGAAGAAAACAGTCATCAACGTAACGTCGATATAGAATAGGTTTGAAAATAGACAGACAGTTGTAAAGCCATGATTTCTTATGGAAAGACATGAAGATATTAGCAAAGAGAGGGCCTAGAGGACTACCCATAGGCACGCCATCAATCTGTTGATAAATCCGACCGTTAAAGATAAAGTGACAGTTTTTCACAGAAAGAGATAGAAGTTTAATGAACTGTGAGCGATCAAAGCCTTCAAAATATATGCAGCTGGCAAAGATGTGATTTGAGATAATCTCAATTGTTTCATCAACAGGAATGTTGGTAAACAATGAAGTGACTTCAAAGCTAGCCATAACCACACTATCTGAGTTGATGTCGCTGTTCAAGAGTTCTTGAACAAAAGAGAACGAGTCCTTGATAACGAAAGAGCTTGTAGAGATAGGAGTGAGAAAGGGAATGAAGAATTTAGCTATCTTGTACGAATAATGATTAACAGAAGATAGAATAGGTCTTAAAGGAATAGAGGATTTGTGAATTTTTGGAAGTCCATATAGTATGCATATACATGTACCAGTGGGATACAGTTCGTTGTAAGTTCTTTCATTAATACAATTGTCAGCCTTTAGTTTCCTTAATAGCGTCTTAAATTGACTTTCACGCTTGAGAGTGAGCTTAATTGCATCATCAATCAAAAGTTCAAATTTTGAAGTGTCCGACCGTAATTCATCCATCTTTTTCTTGTAGTCATCCTTACTAAGAATTACTACGCCGTTTCCCTTGTCGGGTTTCATGATTACAATGCTGTTGTCGTTCCCGAGGTCTTTGAGAATGTTCAGTTCTTCCTGTGTATATAAAGCGTTAGGTCGAATGTAGCTTCGGAAACCGGAGTATGCAATATCTTTCAACTTGGCTTTAATCGATACCGAGAAGAAGCCAGAATCAAAGTTGATTGGTTCTCGCTTGAGTTGATTATAAAACTTTTCAAACGGTGTGAAGAAACTACAGGAATTCAGTTTGGTTGGTGGGATAGCAGGCAAAGTTAAGTCCTTTGGATAGGATTTCCTTTTCTTTGTTCGAGATAAGACGATCAGAGAAATTGAAAACCACGTCGTCAGGGTAGACCGAGTTCGAGTTATTTTGTCCCGAGCAGAGACGAAAAATCTTGCGGCCTTGAACGCACTGATGTTGACAATTGGTGTAATGACAACAAAATGATGCCAAATACAGACAAAACGAAGTGTATGCTCATAACATCGTGGCAAAAACGGCTTCACGTACCACAAAATGAAGATCTGTGTGTAAGCCTTAACGATATAGCACTGGAAAACGTTACTTCAAAACCGCTACTTGGCGTCACTATGAATCATAATCTGTCCTGGGAGGATCATATAAACACCACTGTTTCAAAGATAAATAGGAGTATAGCTCTACTTCGTAGTATTAAACGATATTTACCGCTACAGACACGGAAACTGTTCTTTAATGCGCACATTCTTCCACACATGGATTATTGTTTCATTGTTTGGGGTGGTTCACCTCATGTTAAGAAGATCAATTTAGCTCAAAAAGGAGCAGCCAGGGTAATTTTAGACATCACGGATAATCGTTACCCCAGTAAAGACATGTTTTTAACATTAAACTGGATGCCTATCGAGGATCGTATTAAGTACCGTAAAGCTATTATGGTCTACAAAAGTCTCAATTATTTATGTCCGGATTATATGACAAATATGTATATGTTTAGGTTTGTCAGACAAGTTCATACAAAGACAACCCGATCAAGCTCTGCAAATGACCTGTATTTGCCTTCGAGAAAACATAAACAGATATATACAAATACGTTTGGATACAGTAGTGTAAATATATAGAACACATTAAGTTCAAACATTAGAGAAAGTGTATCTCTAAACGACTTTAAGAGGAAATTTTTAACAAATTATTTTTTAATTGGTAACTGATAATATTTCACTCTAAAATAGCGAGGGCCCTGAGGAAGATAAGTCTTTTGACTTACCAGGTATATTAGCTATGTAATATTTTTAACCATCTGTAAATAAAGTTTATTGATTGATTGATTTATTGACCACGTTAAGATGGCGACCAGACGTGTTATGGCGAACTCCGATATTATTCCACCATTACTTGATAAATCTCGTAAAGAAATTGTTAATTCATCAACTATTGGTATTGATTTTCTTGGTAATGTTTTAAGCAACGACCTTATTTACGAGGGCGCACGTTTGAAATGGTGCAATGATTTAGACTCTCTTAAGGCGTTTGTTGCCGAAGTGCTTGACCTAAACGGGAAATAATGTTCTCCTGGAGGTGGGTCTAAGAGGTTCACAAGCTCCAATGCTGAACTAACTTTGACGTGGTATTCAGGCAAGCAAAACACTTTATTATTTCAAGGCAAAGATGGCAACCTAATTCGGGATGGATGTGTCAAATTTTGTCAGACACGGGATGGTGTTATGAAGTCGAGTTGTAAACAAGTGCAAGCCCTGTCGAAAAATTCAGAGTTACAGTGGGATCTCATTGCTCAAAATATTTTGGAATCAGAGCCTACACCTATATCGAGACCGGCCAACCAAGTTGATGCCGCATCACAGGTTTGTCTAGATAACAAACTATTTGTCGAACTGTCGCTGTTCGTGTGGCGTTTTAAATTAGATTTTTCTATTCTATCTAACAGAATTGATTCGATTGCAAATGCTAATACCGAATATTCTCATAAAGATAAAAGAAATTGATCGTCTTCGGAGTGAACTTTCGATTGAGAAGGCGAGATCTGAAAAGCTTGAATCTCGGTTGAGTTTATTTGTGAAAGAACGATCCCTTGAAATTGAAAAGTTGAATCTAACCATTGTTTCCCTAGAGAATAAAAATGCATCTACATTTGCTGCTCCGATGAACAATAACAATAACAATAGTAAGATTAATAAAAACACTCTTATGAACAAAAACAACAGAAATGGTCACCGAAACAATGGTCATCATGCATAACAACAATGGGTTAAATCAATGCAAATCTCAAAACGTCAGTTTACAACCTTTCATCCCTGCTCCTGTAAATAATAGGGACCTTGAAAGTGTGCCGTTTCACGATAACTAATAGGGACTTACAAAACAAGGCACTACAAATCAATCAAATTGCAAATATGCCCGAAAAGCAACCAATATCGGATTGGATTGGTTCTTTACCGTTAATAGATATACCCATCCAAGCGAAAAATAACCAATATATTAATGGAAATACCTC